TATGAATATCTAATTAAAGCAGGAGATAAGAAATGAGAAAGTGGTATAAAGATATAAGTGAGAAAAGAAGAATTAAAATAAGATACATATTTTTAGTTAATATGGTTAAATATATTAATATATTAATCTTTAAAAAAAAAAACGGGTTTGTATAATTTTAACATGAAAAAAGAGAGAAAAAAGTATCTGCCATATATATGGTTCTTTGTAGAGAAAACTCTTTTCAATAAAATATTTATCCTTTTAAATATACACATGGAAATTTAGGAGGTGTATTCGTTCAGCATTTTGAGTAACATTTTAAGACTTGAGACTTTGTAAGATTTTCAGATTTTAGAATAATCCTATGAAATCTTAAGGGGTGTGTATTCGTTTGAGATTTCGAGTCATTCTAAGACTTTGAGATTTGAGACTTTTTAAAAGATTTTTAGGTTTTGGAAGAATCTTGTGAAATCTTAGTCTGGAGGTAAAATTTTGAATGAGATTTCGTAGAGTTTTTCTTTAAAAATTCCAACAAATCGTAAAAATTCTTAACAAATCATAGTCTCAAATAAGGAGTGTGTATTCAATTGAGATTTCAAGTGACATTTTGAGACTTTTTAAGATTTGAGATTTGTTAAGATTTTCAGATTTTGGAGAAATTCCATGAAATCCTAGGTCTGGAGGTGGGATTTGAAGTAGGATTTCGTATAAGGTTTTTTGTTTAAAAATCCCACAAAATCTTAAAAAGTCTTAACAAATCCTAGTGTCAAATAAATTAAATACCACGGGATTTTGTAAGACTTTTTAAAATCCCAATTGAATACCCTAGGATTTTTAAAAGTCTTAAAAAGTCTTAACAAATCTAAATTGAATACACAAGGATTTCTAAAGTCTCAAAATGTCACTTGAAATCTCAATTAAATACACACTCCAAATTTAAGTTAAGTAGCTCAGGATTTTGTAAGACTTTTTAAAATCCAAATTGAATATCCTAAGACGTTTAAAAATCTAAATGAAATACACTAGGATTTCAAAAATCTTAAAAAGTTTTTAAAAATCTGAAATGAATACACCCCCTAAGTCTGCAAGTGGGATTTGGAGTAAGATTTGGTATAAGATTTTTTCTTATGAAATCAAACAAATATTAAAAAGTCTTAACAAATTAAGTCTCAAATAAGTTAAATACCTCCGAATTTTGTAAGACTTTTTAAAATTTCAAATGAATATTTCAAGACTTTTAATGACAACATGATTTCTAAAATTTTAAAAAATCTAAGAAATCCAAATGAATACAGCCCGTTTCCCGCATCGGACATATTGATTATCATTTATAAACTAGCACCTATTGTAAATTGCAGTACTTTTAACCCGACCCAAATAATAACATGGCCCGGCCTCTGTAACTAGTCCCGTTGGGTCACCTAGCTAATTATTAAACCAGAAAATTAAATTTTACTAAAATTAAGTAGATGCAGTGAATATCTTGACTTCCCACAAGCTAAATTTCATACAACTTCCGTAACATAAGAAATATCAATGGCAAATGTACGTAAATGATTAGGGGTGTACTTGTCCAATTCTTATGCTATAATTCTTAGTGGAAACTCCAATTCAAAGATAAATATGAAACGAAAAAAGTTATTCTAAAATTGAAATGTACAATGACAAAATTTATCGTATAATTTGCGGTTTATGGTATAATTATATGTTCAACAATAGATATGAGAATTTTTTAACAAAATTATATATTTAATTGTTGTTAGCTTAGTTAATATAAACTTTTATATTTCGTGATTTATTAAATTTTTTGTATAAAATTTATTTTAAATATATAATAGACAATCAATTTATTACTCTGTGAGGATTGAGTTATTCTCCTTTGGGGAGTTTGTGTATTCTCCTGTGGGGAGTTTTTATTTTTCTTTTTAGTCTTGTGGTGTGTGTTGTAGATTCTAGGCTGCCTAGTGTAGTCTTCCAATTCCAGCTATTCAGTCAGTTATAATTATGTGTTTTAGATCCAATATTTTTAAGCTTGTCACTAATAAATTCATGCATTAACTTGTTAAATACCTCTAAGAAGACAAACATCCGAGCCAAAACCAGAATCAATTGGATGTAGACTCAAAGTATATGCAACCCTCCCCTCCCACATACGAATACCATGAAACAAATATATTAACTTATATATTTATATATAGTATTTTAAAATCAAAAAATAATATGCATTTATTATTGGCTAATATGTCAAATATTATGAATTATAAACAAACAGATTCACAGAAATTAACACACTTGAGCCTACGGATATTGGATCTTTTTGAAAAAAGAAGGGTAGATTCGAAACATCTTACCTGCAAAAACCTTTCTTCTACTTGTCGTTCGGGAGCCCATAAAAAATAATAAAAGTTACTTTAATTAATTTTCTCGTATCTTTTAATTAGTTAAATTGACAAAAGAATATATTCATGCTACACACGAGTATCGTATTAGTTAATATGTTTATCGAGGGATTTGATGTCTCCACATGTTAATATTTGGCAAGCTATATATTTTTTTGAATTTAATATGGTCACATAAAATAAGCAAAACTATTATAGTATGAGTTACTCAGGAGTAATAATTCCATCACATGATCTGCGGCCACCATTACGTGTTATCTAGTCGCCCCAATATTAATCACAATTACTTATTGATTAGTCATTATACTGACATTTATTAATTCAATCATGTTAAATTATTAATTCTCTCTACCAGAAAAATACAAAGCAAAAAGTGCGGCTGCATTGGACCATAAAAAACTGTTGGGAGAAATTTTTAACTTAAAATTAAAACCATGACTCATCAAAAGCACTAATCTTGATGGCAAAAGAGAGAAGCCTCACTAGTGTACGTGGACCAACAGACGCAAAATACTTGAGAAATACTCCTAAATTTTTTAAGTGGGAATGCTTTCTTACAACACACGAGCCATAAAAGAAATCTCCACACNCACTAATCCATGTAGGCACAGAATTTAGCTTCAGAGCAAAGTGAAGACAATACAAAAAGATGACAATAGTAACACAATAAATACAAAGGGAACATATTTTTTTTATTCGTAAAATAAATAAATAAATAAATAAGAAAAGCTTCCTTATAGGTAGAGTGGCTTCTTCTACTAGAAGGGGGAGAAAGGCACGACAGAGACATTTTACCAAGCAGAGGAAAAAATGTGTGCAGTCACCATGATTGGTTTGCAAGGGATAGTTAAAAAAGAAACGTTTTTTCTATTTTCCTCAATAGAATAAACTTCACCCTTGTCTAAGCAAAAACAACCCCATTCTATCTCTCTAAACCTTTACTTGTCACTTGCCCTTTAAATTCTTTCATTTTTATCAATGACCAGCAACCCCTCTATCTCCCAATGGGGTGGCTACAATCCCTCTTCTCTCCCTTAAAGAAGTCATGGATTCGTCTACATTCGGCTCGAAAAAAGAGTACGCCTTCTCATTCTATTTCTATTGAATTATTCACGTTTTATCTTCTAATTCAAAGTCTCAAATGGATCATATATTTCTATTGAATTATTCACGTTTTATCTTCTAATTCAAAGTCTCAAATGGATCATAATCGCGCTTATATTCCATACCTAGATTCATATATTTATGCAGGAAAAAT